TTTGAAAAAGATTGCCTCCTCACTGGGTGGCCTTATAATGCAATGCTGACGTCTTGTCAAGAGAGTAGCCTCCCCTGTTGACTTTACTTATTGCTCCATAGATTTGTCAACCGGGAACGGTGTTCTCAAGACAAGATGCCGAAAATCAATCTTATACAATTGGTTTAAAGATGCAACTATCTGTTGCATCTAACACTATGATAATTATACACAATGCACTTTCTCAAAATTTCTCAAGCATATGCATTCTCTCACAATCATACCTTTCTCTAGTGCTACCCGTGTACAACCAAGTGCACTGCGCCATCAAGTGCTTCTCCCAAAATATCACCAACTTCCGGTCACATATTAAACCAACTTCAGCCATACCTCACTAACTTCCGGTTACACAATGCTCTCTTTCTTTCTTTTGGCGTTTTTGTATTTTATCATAGCTTGATAAATAAAAATGTTAACATATGACCTAAATAGATTTATACAGTCGCTCGGAAACTTTGTGACTGTTAAACTGGTGACGAACATACAACACCTACAACGATTCTGTACCACCAAATAGTATCACTTATTAATATCTTTAATCTGAAAAATGTTTGCAATGTCGAATCATAAACACATACCACTTTTCATAAAATCAGTTAAACTTATGTTCTGTAAAACAGAGATTAAGGTGTATCCTTAGTAACCATTTCATCCTGTGTAATTCTAGTAAAGAATCATAAAAAAAGTCGTATTACAACCGGAATCTGTGTGTATATAATGATAGGAGAGATCAAAGAACACGCGCGCAGAATGTCTCGATCAAATCTATTAACATAGGAATATATTTCAAATTTTCAAGGGACATCTAAACGAATTTTGTATAGATAGCCTGGCATAGTCGTACTTGAATAGGAAACGTATTTTATATCTAGTTTGAAGCACGTGCTAACTTCACACATGTAGGTTGTGTAAAAGCACGTCAAATGTTATTTCTTTGTTCGGGGAAGTTATCATTTAAGTAATATAAAAATGGCAGCTAGATTTATCTTGGCCACATCAGAATTATTTTACATAAATATAAGTTATATGCCAAAGTACACATATCATATGAATGTTTCATACCAGTTTGTACCTAAATGTGCGAGATTCCTAGGTGTATATTTGTACGAGTCCAGTCACCCGGGCCTGAAGAGAAATGTGATTTATAGATGTTGTTATATCCCTATGAAAGCAAGGTTCGGGATTTCATTAGATCGGTGAATATCATAAATAGCATTTTTGTTGATTCTGAGTCGATAAATCTACAGGGCCACAGTATAGAAAGGGACAATATCGAGAAAAACAAACAAGCTCGCTTTCACTAAACAGGCTGTTGAAAAAATATTTAGTGTAGTGCTTTAGATCAAAGACTTATCCTAAATCTACGTTCATATTTGTTGAAGGTTAATGGTCCTCATAGGTCAGTCCTATTCACGACTATTGTTACAAATCGCTAAAGTGTCAAGAATAAGTCTGATTTTCTATGCGTACCAAACATTGTACACTGCTTTGATATGTCGATCCTCAATAACTGTTTTACGATCCAGCCAACACTACTCCCTCCGTGTCACTGTTCAATATGTTACCCTCCTGTCACTGTTCAATATATAATCCTCCTGTCCATGTTCAAAATACTCCTACTGTCACTGTTCAATATACCCCTACTGCCACTGTTCAATATAACCCTACTATCACTGTTCAATATGTCCCTACTGCCACTGTTCAAAATACCCCTTCTGTCACTTTTCAATATAACCCTATTATCACTGTTCAATATAACCCTACTATCACTGTTCAATATAACCCTACTCTTACTGTTAAATAAACTTCCCTCCGTGTCCCTGTTCAATATACCCCTATTATCACTGTTCAATATATCCCTACTGTCATTGTTCAAAATACCCCTACTGTCACTGTTCAATATAACCCTACTATTACTGTTCAATATAACCCTACTCTTACTGTTAAATAAACTTCCCTCCGTGTCCCTGTTCAATATACCCCTATTATCACTGTTCAATATATCCCTACTGTCTTTGTTCAATATACCCCTACTGTCACTGTTCAATATACCCCTACTGTCACTGTTCAATATATCCCTACTGTCACTGTTCCGTATAACCCTTCTGTCATTGTTCAATATAACCCTACTGTCACTGTTCAATATAACCCTACTGCCACTGTTCAATATATCCCTACTGTCACTGTTCAATATAACCCTACTATCACTGTTCAATATACCCCTACTGTCACTGTTCAAAATATCCCTACTATCACTGTTCAATATACCCCTACTATCACTGTTCAATATACCCCTACTGTCACTGTTCAGTATAACCCTACTGTCACTGTTCAATATAACCCTCCCGTTCCTGTTTAATAAGTAACCAGACAACTACTAAAGTAATTCCATATTCTAATTAGTGCAGGAGATAATGATCAACGCATCTCCACAAGTTAATTATAGCCTGGTTGTAATTGGGGGGGGGGGGGCCTCCCTAGGGTTGCATATTCTTTGCATGTCAAATAATTGAAAATTTTCGACTCGATTTGAATGATCAATAGTTTTGAGATCCTATAACAATCTGTGTTACTTCTTTGTATATCAAAGTGGCATGGTTACATAATTACGGTAGCAGTCGAACTTTTCAAGTAAAACTAAATTACCGTGTACCTAAGTTACAGAAAATTTTAACAGATTAAATAAGAACGAAACAAAGAAAAAACTGGTTTTGAACTACTCTTGTCAAACTTCAAAACATGACAGTTTCCCGGTGATAACGGATATTTTCGGTTTGGTTAGATGGATATTATATTATTTTCTACGTCTAAATTTAGACGTACGAAGTTAGATAGCGAAATAAATACTGATCACACCCTTGCAGTTGATGGCGTATTAATTTGAATTAGTTAACAACACGAAGAAGTAAACTAAACACAGGGTTATTCATTACGTTAATTATATACTTTAAGCGGACGTAGATTTGTAGTTTAATGTGCCTTCCAGACAGGAATGTCATACAGAAATTCTAACTAAAATCCAGAACAACATATCAATAGCAATTGTTCTCTTTTAAATTATAGTGACGTTTTCAAGTTTGTAAAAAAAAAAAACCTGGTAAGCACGCTTTGTGTAGTGCATTACATTCACATACTGTTGGTGATTACTGTACACCTGTGTTATTAAGGTGTATACTACACACATTTGTCTGTCATATACCAGGTATATCTATGCAGGTATATTGTTATTATCATTATTGTTACTTTTTTGTCTGCGATTTGTTTAGCCGTTTAAGCAGAGTCGTTTTTTTTGTAGTCTTGATGACGTAATCAGACCTCGGACGTAAACAATTTAACTTATTTGAAAAAATCAGACATTGAAAATAAAGTTCGGCTATCCATTACAATATTGTACGATTACGTAGCTATTAAGTAAATACAGAAATATACCTAATTATAGAAATATACGGTAACTATAGAATTATGATACATCCATGTCTTATTTACTCGGTATTATAAAATGTGTTACCGTTTCCGTTAAGATTAAAACTGATGATAATGAGTTACATCAACTTTCACTAGACACCGATAAAAAAAAATACTCAACTTTTCTCCATAATTTATAAATTCCCTTGTGCCTTATCAACTGCACATCGATTTCATAAAAAGAAAAATCAATATTTACTTTTCGATTCGTGTCTGTAAACCAGAAATAAAGCATTTCCTATCGGAATATCGGGAGAAATAATTTAGGTCTGTCAGTATCGTGATCTAAACCAATATAATAATGTTCCCAGGTCACAGCAAAAAAAACATTGGTCACAGAAAAAAAATATTGAAAATTTGTCACAGAAAAAAAACCCAACTAGGTATAAACTACAGGTAAAACCGGTAACAACCCGGCCCAAAAACTAAATATAACGTGTTGTTTACAAACTAGGGACCCAGACAACAGAACTTGGAACAAATAATCTAAGGTGACCATGTAGCTGAGAAAGCAACAATGACAAAGGAAGAACGGTAAACTTATGTTCATCACAGACAAAACAGCACTACCAGTTATTGTTGGTGCTCGATCGACTGTCTAGTACGGTGTACACACACTAGGGTAGCGAGGAGCGCCGTAAATGCCTAGATATTACAGCTAATGTTGTGGTACTCGGCGTCCAAAAACCAGTAACAAACATAAAAAGATGAAAAGAAACTATGAAATTAGTGGCAGCTGGGATAGAAGTTTTCTACGGGGTCCCTGCTGCCTTGTATTGGAAGATCGTCTGTAAACTATCACACTCTCATCAAAATGCCGTCCGCCTCGGTAGTAACGGCTATTTGATCTCCAGCGAAACCAACAAAATGAAAGAAAAAACGTGAATTTTCACAAAATTACTTAATTACTAAACCAAAGAAATAGTAAGTTATATCCTCGCTTACAAAAATTGTGACTGAAAATAGCAGATTAGATTTCCCAGTAGCACCGGACTACATAGTATACAATATGTACATACTGTTAGGAGTTAATATACATTGGAGCATATTGTCATTAACCGGAAAAAAAAATCATAAACTGTTCCCAACACATGGCAACCTTACCGATGACTGCGAGTACTTATCTCAAGTGGAAATATCATAATAATACGTACCAATAATAGTCTAGAGATATCCACTTAATGGATGAAAAATACGGTTTCCATTTCTTGGGGAAGTAAACAAAAAAAATATTATAAGTAAATTACGGCATCATTGGCACGCGGGCTACTTTTAGTGGAAACCAACATACAAACTATCATCTCTAGTAATGTCGAGACACCAACAGGCCATGATCACAACAAACAAAAATCGATGGTTTCTCACTACGGGGCGAAATGCATCACTGGCCTGGAATACAAACCTCTGTCTCATGCATAATTCTTGTTTGTTATAAGTAATTCCTTATTTAAGAAAAATAATTTATTTAAAACAGCATGACTACATTGCTGGAGGGCTCATGAATATCATCTCAAATCGAGATGGGAAATTTATGACCGACGGAAATAAAAAGTTTAACAATGTTGTATCTGTTCAAGTTTTTTTTATAAAACATTACTTGGACGAGGTTTTAATTTTAAGTTGAAAGAACACCTGAAACGTTTTGAAGCTTATATACCGAGCTACCTGAAGATCGAGTGAAATTATCCTTTTGAAAAAATAAAAAGAGAGAAAATTGGTGGAACTCCGCCTATCGGGACAAAAGATAGAGACAAAGCGTGGGCTTTACAGGACGATTACACCATTAGGCCGTGTAGAACGAGGGCCTATCTGGTGTCCCTGTTCGAGACGTGACGACAATAACACTGCTCTGTTGCACTATAGTACTGATGTAGCGTATACATGATAGCTCTGTGTAATGTTATACAACAACATTGTATTGTGACCCTAGGTAATCACACACACAACACAGATTCCACGTTGAAATATTAAACCCCTATTAGTAGAGTGGTTGATGGGTAGCCATAAAGCTAGAATTCCCTTTGCCAACTCGACCTTGTGGCACTCAAAATAACGAAATGTGACCGCCATAAACAGCGTAATTAATCCAGTCCTCTACCCAGAGTTACCGTAATACCAGGACGAAATACGTTAGTACCGTAACTATGTTAAAATTTAGCACGTATTGTGAAGTCATATGTAACATACTTTCATTTGTAGCCTTTGTTTCACCTATCTTAATTAATATGTGACGCTGTAAGTTATAAACCTGAAAAATAACATACGCTTGTTGAACTGTATTGTAAATCCACTCGACTTGCAATATTAATAATAACTGAAAGACAATCAATAATATTCCGCCAATTTCACAGTCGCACCTGTATGATACACACTCATTAAAAGCAGCATTTCCCTCACATTTATACACAGGTATATCACACATTGAACCCCTATTCGCCCGTTACACCCGTGACCCGCTAGGTTTGGGTACGTATTTTTGGCCGTGCTGTGATTTCATCACTATGACGGGTGCCTGGTGGTACCCTGCAGTTCCCGCACCATTAAAGTTGGACTTCCGTCTTGTAAATCTCCGTGAACAGAAGTTACTCCAAGACTTTGCAGTTTTAGAACTCCAAATCCACATCCCACTCGTGATTCCGACCACGAGGGACATGAAAATTTTCAACATATAAACTTCCACTGTGGGTATGGATTTGTCCAGTGTGCAGTCTTTGTGGTTTTTTGACACACGACATGGTGTGTCCATTGACTGTTGAGTCCAGATGGGAAAATGTACTCTTTCATAGAAATAACATCCGATCACGCACGTCGCTGGCACCGTATAAAGTACAGAGAAAACACCAATTTTGGCCATCAACTTTTCCAGTTTTCTAATATTCGAACTTCCGTCCATTTTCAGATTGTTTCGGATACGGAATAACGCTACAAATCCGGCTAAAATAAACATGGTTCCTGTAATTAAATATACAATTAATGGTGCAAGAACGAAACCTGTTAAAGCGGCCGGATCCTGGTTGCCGACGAAACAGAGACCGGTCAGTTCGTCTCCGTCCACACGACGCATTGTTAGTATTATAATGGTTTTGATAGCAGGGATGGCCCAAGCAGCTAGGTGGAAGTAGCTACTGAGTGCTTCTATTGCTTCCTGGCCCCACTTCCTCCCGGCTGCCAAGAACCAAGTGACTGTTAGAATTACCCACCACAACGAACTCGCCATCCCGAAAAAATACAAGATCAAAAATACAATTATACACCAGGTACTCTCCAGTCCCTCCTGAATCAAGAATTCGGTCCCATCCCGAGTTTTATCACATGAAATAGCATTAGGACCGGTGATAGCACGGATCATAAACGCCATGGAGTATATAGCATAACACATGGATAGGAATATGATGGGCCTCTCGGGGTATTTAAATCGGCTGGTGTCGATGACAAATGTAAGGAATGTCATGACCGTTGATAGACAACAGAAAGAAGCCCAGACAATAGTCCAAATTTCAGCAAATCGCTTGTCCTCTTGGCGGAAGAAAACGTCAATGTTGCACTTGGGAGCACACGAGTTGTTCTTGTCGATCTTCTCCACGTGCACGTATCGGTCGGGACACTGATACGGCGGAGGCTTAGTGACTCGAATGTTTTTCCCTTTGATCAGTTTCGTTTTAGAATTGTCACCTAAATTTGTCATCTTTTTCTCCCTCCAGCTCTCTAATATATTCCACCATTCCTCACTCTGAGCTTCCGACCCAAACATTCCCGAATCAAATTCGTGATCTGAGGTGACATTTGGAGCCTCCATGCACAAATTTATAGATGTCCGATCGTCCTTGTTGGGCAGTTTAGAGCAGTCAAGCATCGGTGGCCACTCGAAGCTGAATCTGCTCAGTAAAGGCTCACACTTGGTCCGAACCTCAATACACATGGAGCGACAAACAGGTATGATAAAGGTCTCGTCCCCCATCTCCGTACACATGGGGGCGAACAGTGAACACAGGAAAAAACGCAACAGTCTCGAACAGCTTAGTTGTACTAGTGGTAGAAACTGATGGATTTGAATAGCTGCATCTTTCTGATTCGAATGTCCGACGAGATTTGGCATGCGAGTTAAATTATATTTCATATCCAAACACATCGGGATAGTAATTCTCTCGCATCTTTGATAGTGGGGTCGTGTGTCAAACGGCGATATACCGTGCACCGAGCCCGGGACAGCGTAGCAGACGACAAAAAGAACACTTAAAATCCACATGTACATTTTGAAGAATGCATTCACAAACGTTCGAATATGATATAATATATCCCAACAGTACTTATGTGTTACTATGATGAAGTTGTCTTTCACCACCTCCAGATGTAGACTGTCGATACATTAACGATAGACACATGCTCTCTGTATGTGTGCAGAGCGCAGCCAACTGTGGGAGCTATATGGACACTGTGTTTATACACTGACAGAATATCAACGGGCCGCGCTACTGTAAACAGACAACACAGGCCACTCGCGCGATCAATGCGCTAGGTAGATGATCGGACGGAAATAGTCTACAACGATATGATCCTTGGTATTGCGAAAAGTTTCCATCAAGTACAACATTTATCAGTATAAAACGCCCGCCTAGTAGTCAAAATACTATCTAAATTGAAGTTTTGTCTCGATATAAAATGTGGACTATTTTCTGTTGGACGCATTACATGTAAAATTGATATTCCGCACAAGAGGAGGCGGGGCTACAATCCCTTTGATATCTGCGGAAAGGCGAGTCATTCCTGTGTCAATCATTGACATCAAGTCTTCCGTGCCTAACTTCTATTGCTTCTCTGGTCTTTCATCGCCCCAGTATCCCCGCCCCTAACTTGTTGGTAGAATATTTCCTTTTCAGTGAGAATGTTACTTTATTGAATTTATGATGATGTATGAACAGATCGATTGTCGTTTGGGCGGTTATGTAACGTATAATATGAGTGAGAATACAAGGAGTTGTCGTTGATCAACAGCGAAGTCACGATTTCTGTACATTAGCTTTAACGTTCGTGTCTAAAACATAAAACTCTGTAAAAGCATGCTTGAAAGGAATTACTGAACAAACTTACAATAAACCTTCGGGGATTAAATTATGTTTGCTTCTGCGATTCCTGAATAATCCCGATTCTCATTGTAAAGAAATTGAATTTGTATCGAACTTTTATGTGTACGACTAAGAATATATAAAATAAGGTTTTGAATATTTCATGATAAATGACAATACACGGATTTTATCTAAACACGTTATATTAGAATTAAAGGAAGAGAAATATAAGATGTCAGACATTTTATCAATTTAATTACTTCATTACTATTTTTACTTACGATACTACAACATCTGCTAGCATTTATTTTTGTCTGATAGCAATATGTGTATCTCCAGTTGAGATAAGCTTCATGTATAAAAATGTCAGTTTCAGAAACAAATGAAAGTAATTGATTGACATCAGATTGTTTAAAAAAATATCGCCATCATCGTTACCTTCCTGTTGTACGCTATTATAAAGTTTATCTCTAAACTGCATTCGTATCTTAATTTTCTATACAGTAATATACCCGCACATTTATGGTTTGACATAACAATACAACATCCCCAGTGGCGTCATATACTGACGTCACTAGCACGCTAATTAGAATATATTGATAATCATACCGTGCGTAATTTTAGATTACAATTTATCAATATTGATACCAAGTCAGAGAAATCGATGATTACAAATAACTGTCTCTATTTATATGTGATGATATCTTCTCGACGATGATCACGTGTATTTCCTGCACAATAAACCATGGCAACTCGACCATATACCCTTGGTTCATTTTGATACATATTTAAAATAATTTCTATAGTCCTATATATTCCAATTTAATATTTAAGTGAACAAATTAGATAAAAAAAAAAAAAAAAAAACAATCTCTCAAACAATCTAGGTCCAGTCCCCTGCTCTCTGTAGCAGTCGATGAGAACAGGGATACACGTTTTTATTTCTTGTCCAATAATGTTTATAGGCATGAACGTTTGCGGTGTGTGCGGTGTGTGTGTACATGTCTTTGTATCAAATTCCAATAATAAAAGAGACAAACGTTGCTTAATTTGAAGATTGAGATACAATATGCTGCTGCTCTGTTCTTCATTATACATAATTTATGTAATACTTTACTGGCGAAAAGGATTACATGCCTATTGAAATCAGAGAAGGATCTCTTGATTTAATCGAAATAAGATTTCGTGATTTAATTAAAATCAGAAAAAATCAAGGATTATTGAAATCAACGACGAATGTCTCGGTTTCATGGAAATATGAGGTGAATGTCTCGGTTTATTGGAAATCGTAGGAGAATTTCTCTGTTGAATTAGAATCAGCGAAAGTTTTCATGGTTTAATCGAAATCAGAGAAATATTTCACGGATGTATTGATGATTTCACGGTTCGATTGAAAGGTAACAATCGGATCCATTACTAGCGGGACTAACGATGAGTCTCTAACCTCAGCTCAATTCACACTTATGTAATTCTCAGGTGTGTACCTCCGCCGACAATAAATAGTGCCCGCGTGACAGCGCGTTGAACAGATTCGCCGATAGGAAATTGTATAGACAGGTCTATCGTAAAATTATCATATTTTAACCAAAATATGGAAAATATTCAATCTTTCCGATCTAAACGTGTGAGAGGAATAGTGAGTAGGGTCAGCCCCTGTCATAGTTTAACGGTTATCTTCTTACTGGTGAGATTTTTTTATTTCTAAAACGTATCTGTCATTGAAATTATAATTTCCAACTTTTGGTGAAATGTCCTGTGTAGTTTATGGTTCGTTACACCGTTTGTTAAAATGTCTGTTTTATCTGTCATCGCTGTATTTCACACCAAGTGCCCACAAATTTGCCTTACTTGATGAGTTGCCGGGATAAATGGCCTAAACCTGTTACAAAGGTTTGGATAATGTGCATTTGTAATGGTTTAAACCAGAATTCTGAATGAAAAAAAAAAATAAAACCTTTACTTTGATAAATCTGATTAGGGTTTTACTATTTCCTTCCACCATTATTATTACTATTAAAGAATACCGTGACGGAGTGTCAGTACACCACGTTCACCAAAATATTTATTTTTTAATACGGGTATACCATACAGCTTATTCGGTATTCTGTGGACATTGAGCATGGTCCATAGGCATGTGATCTAAAACACAACGCTCCAGGCGTGCTACACCCTGATAGATCGAATGTCCATCGTCCTGTTTCGTTCACGTCACTCCGCCACGATTTTGATGTACATGTTGCGGAAAGAAATGTCCAAGACTGGTGATAATATAATCAATTTGCGATTTTAAAGGTTTTCCGTGAAAAACAGAGAAAAAGAAAAGTAATTCTGGTACAACTGGATGTAATTTAAAAAATAGCCAACGAAATTAAAATCTGGTAAAAAGTAGAATATACATTATACTGTAATTTGAATGTTTCAGAACTTGGACGGAGTCAGTGTACCCAGTAAATAAACATTAGGGGCAATACAAGGCCTGGTCCTAACACTTGGCCGTGAAAAGGCCGGCTCTATTTCGTCTCCTCGCTATTTATTTATTCAATATAAATTTCGTTTACGTATCATGAATGGAGCATTCATTGGGTATGATTAAAAGTAGAATTTCGATCTCTAAACAAAATTAACACTCAGTGAAATACCTCGATACTTCTGAATGCCCTGTACACTGATCATTGTAAGCAATCACTCATCCGTGAAAATAAATTTGGTGTTAAATTAATTTTCGGTCCCAATGACCATTCCCATATGACAAGGTCAAGCTCAATGACCATCACACCTGTACCACACCTGTCCGTGAGGTACTGCCACGCTCAATAACTCCCTGATAGAGTTCATTCTTTAAATGGGTCGATCACCACAATAAGTTGAGAAGGAGAAACTGTTATGAAGCGCAGAACAAATAGTTAAATTATCACTAAACAATGGGAAGATACCAGGGATCACAAAACAATGGGCAGGTAACAGTGATCACAAAACAATGGGAAGGCAATAGTGATCACAAAACAATGGGAAGGTAACAGTGATCACAAAACAATGGGAAGGTAACAGTGATCACAAAACAATGGGAAGGTAACAGTGATCACAAAACAATGGGAAGATAACAGTGATCATAAAACAATGGGAAGGTAACAATGATCACAAAACAATGGGAAGGTAACAGTGATCATAAAACAATGGGAAGGTAACAGTGATCACAAAACAATGGGAAGGCAATAGTGATCACAAAACAATGGGAAGATAACAGTGATAAAAAACAATGGGAAGGTAACAGTGATCACAAAACAATGGGAAGATAACAGTGATCATCAAACAATGGGAAGGTAACAATGATCACAAAACAATGGGAAGATAACAGTGATAAAAAACAATGGGAAGGTATCAGTGATCACAAAACAATGGGAAGATAACAGTGATCATCAAACAATGGGAAGGTAACAATGATCACAAAACAATGGGAAGATAACAGTGATAAAAAACAATGGGAAGGTAACAGTGATAAAAAACAATGGGAAGGTAACAGTGATCACAAAACAATGGGAAGATAACAGTGATCATCAAACAATGGGAAGGTAACAATGATCACAAAACAATGGGAAGATAACAGTGATAAAAAACAATGGGAAGGTAACAGTGATCACAAAACAATGGGAAGATAACAGTGATCATCAAACAATGGGAAGGTAACAATGATCACAAAACAATGGGAAGATAACAGTGATAAAAACAATGGGAAGGTATCAGTGATCACAAAACAATGGGAAGGTAACAGTGATCATAAAACAATGGGAAGGTATCAGTGATCACAAAACAATGGGAAGGTAACAGTGATCACAAAACAATGGGAAGGTAACAGTGATCATAAAACAATGGGAAGGTAACAGTGATCACAAAACAATGGGAAGGTATCAGTGATCATAAAACAATGGGAAGGTAACAGTGATCAAAAAACAATGGGAAGGTAACAGTGATCACAAAACAATGGGAAGGTAATAGTGATCATAAAACAATGGGAAGGTAACAGTGATCACAAAACAATGGGAAGGTAACAGTGATCACAAAACAATGGGAAGGTAACAGTGATCACAAAACAATGGGAAGGTAACAGTGATCACAAAACAATGGGAAGGTAACAGTGATAAAAAAACAATGGGAAGGTAACAGTGATCACAAAACAATGGACAGGTAACAGTGATAAAAAACAATGGATGGTACCCATAATCATAAAACACTGGAAAATTGACACTAATTACAAAACCATGGAAACTAACCACTCGTATAATCATACCTCCACACAACAAACGCATGGTTACAACTCCGCAAAACACACGCATGGTAACAACTCCACACAACACATGAATAGTAACAACTCCACACAACACATGAATGGTAACAACTTCACACAACACATGCATGGTATCAACTCCACACAACACATGCATGGTAACAACTCCACACAACACATGAATGGTAACAACTTCACACAACACATGCATGGTATCAACTCCACACAACACATGCATGGTAACAACTCCACACAACACAAGCATGGTAACAACTCCACACAACACATGCATGGTATCAACTCCACACAACACACGCATGGTAACAACTTCACACAACACATGCATGGTATCAACTCCACACAACACATGAATAGTAACAACTCCACACAACACATGTATTTGAACAACTCAACACAACTCATGCATGGTATCAACTCCACACAACACATGCATGGTATCAACTCTACACAACACATGCATGGTATCAACTCCACACAACACATGCATATGCATGGTAACAACTCCACACAACACATGCATGGTAACAACTCCACACAGCACATGCATGGTATTACCTCCGCACAACACATGCATGGTATCAACTCCACACAACACACGCATGGTAGCAACTCCACATTACACACGCATGGTATCAACTCCACACAACACATGAATGGTAACAACTCCACACAACACATGCATGGTAACAACTCCACAAAACACATGCATGGTTACAACTCCACACACCACATGCATTGTAACAACTCCACACAACACATGCATGGTATCAACTCCACACAAAACATAAATAGTAACAACTCCACACAACACATGCGTTGTAACAACTCCACACAACACATGCATGGTATCAACTCCACACAACACACGCATGGTAACAACTTCACACAACACATGCATGGTATCAACTCCACACAAAACATAAATAGTAACAACTCCACACAACACATGCGTTGTAACAACTCCACACAACACATGTATTTTAACACCTCCACACAACTCATGCATGGTATCAACTCCACATTACACACGCATGATAACAACTCCACAAAACACATGCATGGTAACAACTCCACAAAACACATGCATGGTTACAACTCCACACACCACATGCATTGTAACAACTCCACACAACACATGCATGGTATCAACTCCACACAACACACGCATGGTAACAACTTCACACAACACATGCATGGTATCAACTCCACACAAAACATAAATAGTAACAACTCCACACAACACATGCGTTGTAACAACTCCACACAACACATGTATTTTAACACCTTCACACAACTCATGCATGGTATCAACTCCACATTACACACGCATGATAACAACTCCACAAAACACATGCATGGTAACAACTCCACAAAACACATGCATGGTAGCAACTCCACAGAACACACGCATGGTATCAACTCCACAAAACACTTGCATGGTTACAACTCCACACAACACATGCATATGCATGGTTACAACTCCACACAGCACATGCATGGTAACAACTTAAAAAAACACATGCATGGTAACAACTCCACACAACACACGCATGGTATTACCTCCGCACAACACATGCATGGTATCAACTCCACATTACACACGCATGGTATCAACTCCACACCACACATGAATAGTAACAACTCCACACAACACATACGTTGTAACAACTCCACACAACACATATATTTTAACAACTCCATACAACCCATGCATGGTATCAACTCCACACAACACATGAATGGTAACAACTCCACACAACACATGCATGATATCAACTCCACACAACACACGCATGGTAACAACTTCACACAACACACGCATGATAACAAATCCACAAAACACATGCATGGTAACAACTCCACAAAACACATGCATGGTAACAAGTCCACAGAACACACGCATGGTATCAACTCCACAAAACACTTGCATGGTTACAACTCCACACAACACATGCATGGTAACAACTCCACAAAACACATGCATGGTAACAACTCCACACAACATATGCATGGTATTACCTCCCCACAACACATTCATGGTATCAACTCCACACAACACATGCATGGTAACAACTCCACAAAACACATGCATGGTAACAACTCCACACAACATATGCTTGGTATTACCTCCCCACAACACATGCATTGTAACAACTCCACACAACATATGCATGGTATCAACTCCACACAACACACGCATGGTAACAACTCCACACAACACATGCATGGTATCAACTCCACACAACACATGCATGGTAACAACTCCACAAAACACATGCATGGTAACAACTCCACACAACATATGCATGGTATTACCTCCCCACAACACATTCATGGTATCAACTCCACACAACACATGCATGGTAACAACTCCACAAAACACATGCATGGTAACAACTCCACACAACATATGCATGGTATTACCTCCCCACAACACATGCATTGTAACAACTCCACACAACATATGCATGGTATCAACTCCACACAACACACGCATGGTAACAACTCCACACAACACACGCATGGTATTACCTCCGCACAACACATTCATGGTAACAAATCCACACAACACATGCATGGTAACAACTCCACACGACACATGCATGGTATCAACTTCACACAACACATGCATGGTATCAACTCCACACAACACATGCATGGTATAAACTCCACACAACACACGCATGGTATCAACTCCACATTACACACCCATGGTAACAACTCCACAAAACACATGCATGGTTACAACTCCACACAACACATGCATGGTATCAACTCCACACAACACATGCATGGTAACAACTCCACACAACACAAGCATGGTAACAACTCCACACAACACATGCATGGTATCAACTTCACTCAACACATGCATGGTATCAACTCCACACAACACATGCATGGTATAAACTCCACACAACACACGCATGGTATCAACTCCACATTACACACGCATGGTAACAACTCCACAAAACACATGCATGGTTACAACTCCACACAACACATGCATTGTAACAACTCCACACAACACATGCATGGTATGAACTCCACACAACACATGCATGGTAACAACTCCACACAACACATGCATGGTATCAACTCCTCACAACACATGCACGGTAACAACTCCACAAACCACATGCATGGTTACAACTCCACACAACACATGCATTGTAACAACTCCACACAACACATGCATGGTATCAACTCCAAACAACACACGCATGGTAACAACTCCACACAACACATGCATGGTATCAACTCCTCACTACACACGCAAGGTATCAACTCCACACAACACACGATTGGTATCAACTACACACGCATGATATCAACTCCACACAACACATTCATGGTAACAACTCCACAAACCACATGCATGGTTACAACTCCACACAACACATGCATTGTAACAACTCCACACAACACATACATGGTATCAACTCCAAACAACACACGCATGGTAACAACTCCACACAACACATGCATGGTATCAACTCCTCACTACACACGCAAGGTATCAACTCCACACAACACACGATTGGTATCAACTACACACGCATGATATCAACTCCACACAACACATTCATGGTAACAACTCCACAGAACACATGCATGGTATCAACTCCACACAACACACGCATGGTATCAACTCCACACAACACACGCATGGTGTTAACTCCACACAACACACGTATGGTATCAACTCCACACAACACATGCATGATATCAACTCCACACAACACACGCATGGTATCAACTGCAAAACACACGCATGGTATCAACTCCACACAACACATGCATGGTTTAAACTCCACACAACACACGCATGGTATCAACTCCACATTACACACGCATGGTATCAACTCCACACAACACATGAATGGTAACAACTCCACACAACACACGCATGGTAACAACTCCACAAAACACATGCATGGTTACAACTCCACACAACACACGCATGGTGTTAACTCCACACAACACACGTATGGTATCAACTCCACACAACACATGCATGATATCAACTCCACACAACACACGCATGGTATCAACTGCTAAACACACGCATGGTATCAACTCCATACAACACACGCATGGTATCAACTCCACACAACACACGTATGGTATCAACTCCACACAACACATGCATGGTAACAATTCCACAAAGCACATCAAATGAAAACAACTCCTCAAAACAGTCACGTGACAACAAGTCCTCAAACACTCACTGGGTAACGAGAAGGAATGATTATGAAATTGTACACTAACGATAGCACCGTGATTGAATCGTAAAGCAAGTCCGGGTATACCTGTGTTACCTGTATTTATCATTAGCTGTCCTCCGGCTGACCTTTAAGGTTTTATTGACAAATGTTTAATCAAATTAAGGAAATTTTCAATAAATTATTCTATGTAAAGAGGAAAGAAATAAGTGATTACACTTGGACCACACGCAGCCAGTTCTAGGAAAGGCTATTAAGGGTGTATAAGGGATGTAGGATCAGACAGTAAAACACGAGTACAGTTAATACAGTTAGTAAATAGGCTATTGTTTATCGAATATTCACACTTTCGTAAGTCGATCTTGACTGGTAAAATAAACCCGAGAAATCGATCCACATTCAGGGAAAACAGGAGTTTCCGAATAAAACTGATTTGGACATGTTAACCCTTCACATTGTGTGTTTAGGGAATTTGGAATGATTACTAGCCTGGGACACCCAGGGGTAAGGGGAAGGGGTGGGGGGTTCTCTGGGCCTAATTCTTTGTCTATGTTACAATAAATACAGATTTTAATATGTATGTGAAAGGAACAGGAATGATAGGGCATTATCACAAGACATCCAGGAAGAACTTTGTTATCCTATAGCGATTGGAACCGTAAACTAGGCACATGGAATGTAAGCATGAACAGTAGAGGATTGTTAATTCCGAAACAGTAATGATTAAGTCCAAAAAAGATTTTCAATTGTGCTCCTAGCAGAACATCAACCGTCTTAACACTTGTCACGAGCGAACCAAACCTGGAGGAAAGAGCTAGCTCCAGATATATATATATATCGTACAGATTTAACAATCAGACATATGGAACTGATAATAAAACCGATTAACTCTACTTTTCTAATTGCCATTTTGTACAAGACGACGGAACCATCAAATCATTACTACACTTGAAATACCTCGGAACGAGAATACCTTAAAGTGTTCTTAGCGACAAGTGCCTCTTACTGCCGGATCGGGACTGACTATTAGCAGATGAAAGGGCTCAGAGGGGACCCAGTCGAGGGTCCTTTTCAAGGGAGATAACTGGAAACTAGGCACTACGCCCTTGTTCTCCCGAATAGGCACCATGCGTGTCTCGGCAATAAAAAGCAACAACATTTAAGTTATATAAGAGATAGCCCTTTTCGATTCCAGGTTTAATTTAGCGTTATTTGACGCAATTTTGAAATAGTTTGTAGATTAGTTAGGTTGATAGAACTAGATGTACCCAGTATGTGATCGCCCTAATGGCTAGGCGAGATTGATTTTTGAGAAGCAGAGGGTATTAACTTGGTCCGCTATCGGGTTTTTGTCGATTTAGCAGTTCTGTTTGTACGAGAATAGGAAGATTACACTTATACCCACTATACGTATTTCAGGGTATAAATATACATGTAGAAGTTTGTATTACAGTATCACGCCGCGCTGCTTATGTTCGAGAACTTAACGGAGTCGAAAGGGATTTTTGTATTTGTTAAATTGTTCTTCTAAACCTAGATAAAATAACTAAAACCATGAGATTTATCCGAAAGGAATATCGAGTTTGTCCTTACACATTTTAATAGCATCATGGTTCTATCCGAAACATATTGAATGATACCACTTATCCAGGGTCTTTACATACAAGGCAATAATACTGTCACGTATAATTAACGAGGCATTAGAATATTGCATTTCATTCTCATCTTATAATTAATGAGATTGATACTGTTTAATGTCAATAACAGGATATACCAATCTTTAAAGTATGACATTTCTGTAGAGTAAAGTATGACATCTCTGTAGAGTAAAGTATGACATCTCTGTAGAGTAAAGTATGACATCTCTGTAGAGTAAAGTATGACACATGTGTAGAGTGAAGTATGACATCTGTGTAGAGTATGACAATTCTGTAAAGTATGACATGTCTGTAGAGTAAAGTATGACATCTGTGTAGAGTAAAGTATGGCATCTCTGTTGTGTAGAGTATGACATGTCTGTAGAGTAAAGTATGACATGTCTATAGAGTAAAGTATGGCATCTCTGTTGTGTAGAGTATGACATGTCTGTAGAGTAAAGTATGACATCTGTGTAGAGTAAAGTATGGCATTTCTGTAGAGTAAAGTATGGCATCTCTGTTGTGTAGGGTATGACATTTCGGTAGAGTAAAGTATGACATCTGTGTAGAGTAAAGCATGACATTTCTGTAGAGTAAAGCATTACATCTCTGTAGTAAAAGCTTTAAAATGATATTTCTATGTAGTAAAGGCATTAAAATGATATTTCTATGTAGTTAAGGCTTGATAATGATTTTCTGTACCACTAAAGGATCAATTTCAATTACAATATATTTACGTTCATAACACTCCCATCATAATTTCTTTATTTTTATATATTTCACACATGTGAACATCTGTTCCGGAAGGATAAGCGTCTTATTCATCGACTATATAAGTAAAATAATTCAGTTACTCAATGGAGAACCAGGTTAACAGTAACGTCTACTTAATACTGCTTTTAACGAATGCTCGGAAAATTACGTAAAAAACAGAATCTTACATTCCTTTACATTTCCTATGAGATCTAGGTCTCTGGTCAGATGCGTTACATTTTACGTAGCCGTGTGTTTGGTAAGATTCGTTTATTCAATATCACATGAATGGGGTTTTAATAATAGTTCAATGCACATGATAGTAGTGATGCTATTTCTATGGTATGTGATGGTACAAGTGATATTTTTATTGGATATGATAGTCATACTGGTATTTCTATGGGATAGGATAACTGTAATAATATTTCTATGTAGTAAAGACTTTGGAATGATATTTCTATTTGATTAAAGGCTTGAAAGTGATATTTCTATGCAGTAAAGACATTAAAATGATATTTCTATGCAGTAAAGGCGTTAAAATGATATTTCTATTTGATTAAAGGCTTGAAAATTATATTTCTATGCAGTAAAGACATTAAAGTGATATTTCTATGCATTAAAGACATTAAAATGATATTTCTATGCAGTAAAGTTATGAAATTGATATTTCTATGGGGAAAAGCATTAAAGTGATATTTCTATGTAGTAAAGGCATGAAAATGATATTTCTATGTAGTAAAGGCTTTAAAGTGATATTTCTATTCAGTAAAGACATTAAAATGATATTTCTATGTAGTAAAGGCATTAAAATGATATTTCTATGTAGTAAAGGCATGAAAGTGATATTTCTATGTAGTAAAGGCATGAAAATGATACTTCCATGCAGTAAAGGCTTTAAAGTGATATTTCTATGCAGTAAAGGCATTAAAATGATATTTCTATGCAGTAAAGTTATGAAATTGTTATTTCTATGGAGTAAAGGCTTTAAAATGATATCTTCTATGTAGTTAAGGTATTAAGATGATACTTCTATGCAGTAACGGCTTTAAAGTGATATTTCTATTTAGTAAAGGTAGTACAATGATATTTCTATGCAGTAAAGGCATTGAAATGTTATTTCTATGGTGGTAAGACAGTAATATGATATTTCTT